AGCTGTCTTCCCGCGGGGACACTCGAAGGAGGCTGCTGTGCGAGCTTTCGAGCAAGATGTGCCATAGTCCTTTCTCTATTCAAATCATGTTGATTTGCCAGCCACGCTCTGTCAATACTGTATTTCCATGTGCGTTTTGTAAATAACTCTCTCTTTTTTCTTTTTTTTTTTTTTTTGATTTCTTTTTTTTTTTTTTTTTGAGAAGCGTTTACTATTTTTTAAGGAGGCTCTCTTCCTACGGGATCTGTTCCCAGCTGCGTGTGTGCGCGGGTGTGTGTCTGAAAAGTTGTGTACAAGTGCTCCATGCTGCCTAGCAAGTGCTAACTGGGATTTCTAGTATTTCTTTGTGATGACCGATTTTGAAATGGGTTTCTCTAATGCCAGGAAATCGCGTCTGATGTTGTCAAATACTAGAACTGCCAATAGCCAGAGCTGGACGGAATGTCCTATTTATGTGGGGGGGTTTTGTAAGGCGTTCGTTCACCTTCCTTTTTTTTATGAATTTTTTTAAATAATAAAAGTTGAGTAAATACACGTCTAACCTTGACTGCCTTTTCCTGTCTTCAGACCGCTGCGTTGACTTTCACTCTTGCCTATCTCACAACACCCTCCCCGCAGCCGAGGAGGGGCAGGCGAAGCTGCAGGATGCGCTGCTGGGGGCCCGGGGGCGGCGAGCCCTCGCTCGGCGGTGGCAGGAGCGCGCACCGCCCGCGACCCGGCTGATAGTGAGAGTGCTGGGTGTCCCCAAAGGGAAATGAAAACCTCCGGGGCTCCCGAGGGAGGAGACCGACCAGGAGGACCGCGCGCTGCCTCTGTGACCCCGGCCAGCCGCCTCCGGGAGGGCGAAGGTGCAGGGTTGACCGGCGTCGTGCAGGCAAGTGAGTCCCGGCCAAAAGCACAGGCAGGGGAAAGCCGTCCTGGGCTGCAGAGCCGCCCCGCCGAGGACGCCCCGTCTCGGGCACGCAGGCAGTGCCAGACCGGAGCCCGGCCGGGGGCAGCGCAACCCGCACCTGCGGCGAGGCGGGGCTGCGGGGCGAAGGCAGCCCCAGCCCCAGCTGCGAAGGCAGCCCCAGCCCGGCCGTGCGAGGCTCAGCCCCCTCCCCGGGGGCCGGCAGCTACGCTCCAAAGGGTGAGGAGTGAAGGACTTTGCTCCCTCGGAGCCCGAAAGGTGAGACCGGGCGTGGAGAGCATCCCGAAGCCGCCGCAGGAGCTGTGCAAAGCCACCCAGAAACAGCGGGTCTTTAAGGACCTCCCATGGCGCCTCCGAACGCCTCCTTGTTCTTCACAGCAGCGGGACTAGGCGCCCGAGCTGTTAAGCCCCTAAGTTTTGGAGAGGGGTGCACGGCCCGGAGGCAGCGCAAGCCGGAGACGCTGCTCTCCGCAGCTGGGCACCGAGTCGCGCCCGCAGTGCTAAACTAAACCTGCGGAAAGCTGTTTGTTAGGGCGTAACAGCCCCTGTCTTGACCGTGACAATGTTCCTCTGGACCCTCAGTGTTCCTGTCCCTCAACGTTCACGGTTTAGACTAGCATGCGTAACCGATCCCGCCGCCTCCCATAAGACGAGCAGCACCGGCTGGTCCCTCACAGAGAAACCAGACGCTCCGACCCCGCTCCTCTGCCCCTTTGCCCCCAAAGCCCCCGCCCTGGGTGGGAGCGGCGGGAGCGCAGCGCCCCTGCAAATTGGGGCGATCTGTTTAGGTGTCAAAAGATGCGGCTCAGGTGCCCGCTTCGGGCTTCCCGACCCGCCTGGCCATCGCGCCTGCTCTGACGGCCTCTAAATCCTATTCAGCCCCTTCACCTTCCCGCTGCCCTCAAGGGCGGAACCCCCGGCACTGGGCTCGGGGCTGCACCAGTTCCACCCGACTCGGGCGTCTCCGGTTGATGCTGGGGCGGTGGGACGAGAGCCCACCTTGAGGTGGGCTTGCTTCCCCTGGCTGCGCGCTGGGCGCCAAGCACAGATCCCTCCGGAGCGGAGGGGAGCCTCGGCGGCAGCCCCAGCAGCGCAGGGTGCGGCAGGGCATCCCCCTGCTCCTCCCGGCGCGGGCAGCGCCCGCCCAGGCGCGGCAAAGGAGTCAGTGCCTGAGCCGCTGCCAGCACAGCCAGTGCCTCCCGCCTGGTGCACGGGCTCACCAGCCTCGGCTTCCTCCAGGCACCCTACGCGGGACGAATGAGTGCTCTTCCCCGGGGCCAGACTCCCCAGCACCAACAAACCTGGCCCTGCCCCGCTGCGGGACAGCACAGCCCCCCGCTCTGCCCCGCTGCCCACGGCTCCCAGCGCGGCCCTGGCCCTGCCCCCGCAGCGCCTTTCCCAGCCCCACGCACGTCGTGCCTCCAAAACCAAAGGCAGAGGAGCAGCGGGTCTCCTCTCGGCTACAAGGGCAGCCTCTGTGTACGCGATTACTCTTTTTCTTTTTTTTTTTTTTTTTTTTTCCTAGAGCTTAGTTTTCCTCACTTTACAATAAAGCCATTCTTTGCTTTCTCACCTCGTTATCTCTTTCCCTTATCCGCTTTTGGCACGCTTTAGTTGTAATCCGAAGTTACGGGCAAACCCCTGGCACGTCCCCACCCCAGTCCGACCCCCAGGACATTTTACGGTCGTACGGACTTCTGTGATCACTGTCCTTACGTGGGCTTTAATAGTAACAGAAACAGCCTCGTCTTTACTCTGTACTACTAGCAGATTTTGGTCAAAGGCTATCTGAGGTCAGGAGTTTTTTCTTTTTTTTTCCTAAATAAGTCAGCTTTCTAAAGCTACATTCCTCCTTTAAACCGAACACAGAGCTCTTATTTATCACTTTCTCTTTAATCACCAACAGAAGGAAAAATTGCTATGAATTCCTGGAATCCCTGAAAGAGATCACACTTTTCCTTTGCACAAATCAAAGTTATCTGCTCCTATTATATCCTTCACTTAAAATGAACCATAAGCCTCTATCCCACTGAGCTTTCTCGGGGATACTTGTTTAGCACAGACGAGAACAATACGCTGTAGATCTAAAGAGCCCAGGGCGGCAGAAGCCTCTCTGGCTGATACAAAGGATTGAGAAACGTCCTACCTCTAAAACGCATTTTTAGTGCCTTTCCACCTCCCTAGTGCACGACAAACAGAAGTCAGAGAGCAGGAAGATATTTATCAGAGAAAGATCTGAGTGGTGATTACGTGTCTGTCAATAATTAATTGAATTATGTCCTCATCATAATTACATACAGTCCTCTAGCCAGGAGGAGAAAAAAAAGAAGGAAGTTGTGGTGTGGTCGAAGGGGGATCTCAGGACATGGTTCCAGTCATTAAAAATGTGATGTAACATTGCAATCTGGTGTATTCTGAGGCACAAATGGGGAAACACAAACGAAACCAACTACTAAAATATTATTTGCTTTACAGCAGGGAGACAGAAAAAGCACTTCCCTTCATTAGTTGTTTTCATTACTACTTTCTGCTAGGGATTTAAAGGTATTTTACAATGCAAAAAACAGAGGTCTTACTCATTTGATCTATGAACTATATGCTTTAGGGTTTGTATCATTCACCACGTGCTGTCTGACTACACTGGATGTTTCTGATGTTTGAAATAAAAATTTTAATTGGTGCAGAAATTAAATTAGTCCAGCAAGGCACCCTATATTCAATACCAATGTAGAAATGACACAGTCAAAGAATCTTGCAAGCAAATTCTTACTCTGACACTAATTTTTCTGTACTTCTTCCAGTCATAAGGGAGATCACAATATCATTATTAATTTATTATTTACTAAGAGCTGTTAGAGTACTCTTTTGGTACACAAATGCAAGCAAACAAAGAGCTCGATTCAGTTCTAACACAAGTTTTGCTCTGGTGTAACTTCAATGACACGGGTGTAGTCACTTCAGAACCACCTGGGTGTAATTATGATAAAAATCTGGGCTATTGCACTTCCTTTGCTTTTCTAATGGTTCAAAACCTCTCTTTTCCTACAGCATGCTGCGGAAGACAGACATCTGTTTGAATACAGAGCCCAAAAATCACTCTCAAGTTCCTCCTCACTGGCAATGCCAGTGTCCTATATCCTGCCAGAATTTAGGCATGTCAGCACATTTCCTCACTGCTCTGCACCCTCCCTACAGCATGAGAGTTGTAAACTCCATCGATATGTGTTTCCTTCCACTTGTTAAGGCACATCCTCCTGGTGTCTTGAGCTTTAGATCAGGTAGCTTTTCATTCTAATTGCTTTTCAGCATCCAGCTGCCAAAAGAAATTTGACACCTGCTTCCTTCTTCGCAAATTTCTCTTTTCAAACAAATGTTTGATGATGCCTCTTGAAATGGGGTTCATTTATGACCTTCACTTAATTGGCTAATTCATGTATTTTTCTCATCTACTTGGCCTTCCACCTGCTTCTTCAGGGATTTTGGAAGTGGTTTAGAGTGGTAAATGCACTAACAATCAACAGCCAAAAAATCTTAACTAGAACAGCAAACGGTATTCAGTACTCCCTGTGTGAAAATGCAATACAGGACAAGGTTAAAATCCTTCAGCTAATATGTTTTGTATAAGAACCCTTTTCAGGGTATAATGCTTACCCCCTCAAATGTAAGGATCACTCAATCTGATCCATGGACTTCCTGTGCTCATCAAACTTAGAAGATCAGGCCTGTCTGATGTTTCCTCTCTCTTTTGCAAGTTAGTAGCTCCATCCTGGCTTTTCTTATGGAAGCATTTGCTTCCATTCCCTTCCAAGTAATAAATATCCTCCATCTTAAAAGGACATTTAGGACATGGCCATATGGGGCAAGGTAGCTCAACCTCCTGCATGTCACTCCCCCAGTGCCCAGAATTACCCCAACACAGAGGCGATCCCGGAATCTCTGATAAAGATATCCAAGAACTGCATTTTTTACTGAAGACTCCAAGAATGAACTGGCACATGGTCCCTGGAAGAAGGGCATTTCATTATCCATTATAGAGTAATGGGCACTATAAAAAACCATAAACAGATTTAAAATTTACTGAAATCCTTAGCAATGAGGTTAAGAACCATGGCAAAGCCTTTGATATTTTCTGCCCATCTTTTCCCTCTCACCCTCTTAGGTTTATAAAGCAACTAGTGCTTGAGCAGTCTTCATTTGCCTGGACTTTCACATCCATTCTAAGGCATCCCAGGTGGGATTTTTAGGGTCATATTTCTATTTTCTTGGTGTGTCTTGCTTTTTTTGCCTGAAGAGTCAGTCGGGTATTGTCTGTAGTAGAAAAAATTCAGTATAGTTATTTGATCACTACAGGTTATCAGGCAGAAGTCCTCAGATCATGTACCACAATGTGGAATTTAAATGAGGTGTCATAGCACAGAACCTCACTTTAAGTATCATAAACTTGAACATTTCTGATTCAAAACATCTTTCAGAGCTTTCTCTGAGTTCATATAACTTCACAAACATAATTATGCCAAAGATATCATTGGTGCCAAAGACCTGAGAGTAGAAATAATTTCTAAGAATAAAAAATCATTTAGTAACCTCAGGATAAATTTTAAAATATATGTTTATGAAAAAATATGTTTTATTATGTTTTCAATAAAATTTAAAGGTATATATTATGACTTTCAAGAATTGTTATAATGGAAGTGACCTTAAAAAAACCTATCAGACTGAGCTGAAGAAGTTCTGGAAATTGCACAATTCAACGCAAGAAAAAAAATTAAGTTATTTGTTCACTTTCCATTTGCGATGAAGGACAAGAATGAAGGACAATCAGAAAAGAATAGGGCACAAGGCTGCTGTCAACTGGATTTGCAGCACATGCACACAGAGAACATACTGTGCCACACAGACACATGCATACAATGGCAGAGATCAAATTAGCCCAAAGTGGTTTTGGAACACTGAAAAGGGAGAGGCAGGGAGTTATGTATTTTATAAAATAAAATAGTTAATTCAAAAAAGTGATAATTATACAAAAATTTAAACAAATTAACAAGTTCATTTCTATTTCTTCTCACTCAAAAGTGGAACACATCCACTGCACGTATGTCAGTGAATAATGAACAGTTCCGGGGAAACAGAAAATGCAGAACTCAGTTGTCTTGTTCTCTCTATTTCATTTAATCTTTCCTTTTCACTGTATATTGCCTTCTCTAGAAGGCATACCACTGGAATGATTATGCTGAGCTCTAGTCTTTTTGATGTTCATGCAGACCTATAGGTGTTTCAGTTGTGATGTATCTCTAATACAAAATAATCTACCACAACATCAAACTGAGTCAATAGTTCTATCTACCTGATTAGAGCAAAGGTCTGGTAAGCAAAACCAACAGAAGAATTTGGAACTGTTCCCCAAAACTGACCTGCAAGACCTCTCCTATTCCCATGAGATGTCTTCACTGCATTCATTCAGCTGAAATAATTTCCAGAAATTATCTGTTGGGAGGAACAGAAAGGAAGAAAAAAGAGCAGATTGAGGAAGAAATGTCATGGATCTTGCTTTTTGTTTTTGCTTTTTTTTTTTTTACTATCTGAACCTTAAAGTCTTCAACTGCATTCTCATGAACACAAAGACAGGTTTGGAGGAACTCTGTAATGATTTGCCAGTAGAACTGAAACAAATTGGTATGTACCATAGAAATGCATCTGTGTTTTCTAAAGTTGGATAGGAACCTATCAGAGAGATGCATATTAGTCCTTCCTGCAGACGCTGCCGGAAACTGGAAAGATCTCCTTTGTCTCTTACCACATATTCTGTGTTACTGTGAACTCACCCTGGAATTTTTTATCTGGTTAACAAATCTAATCCCTGGAAAAGAGACTTGACAAAAACGCATATCAGATTTTGTTTTGTCTTTGGAGTCACTGAACATGCCTGCTGACTCACAATTCCTTTCTAGATCTGTTGAGCTTCTCTTGCTCAATGCAGTAAGACAGTGGCTCATGGGCCAGACAATGGGGAAGAAGCCACTGAGCCTATGGGGTCTCCAGGAGAGACTGCAGCACTGTATTACAAATGCGTGGGATAAGGCCCAAACTGTGGGACAGTGAAAAGAGGGAGATGGTTATCTATTTCCCATGCACAGCACTGACAGTTGACAGATGTGCCCAGCTAAATATTGTCTGTGAAACCCGGTACTATTTTTAATACCAGGTGACCAATCAGGGCATTCGTTTTTAGGCATGGATGTGTCATCATTGCAAAATGGAATTTGGGGTTTTTTGGAAAAGAAATCAACACTTAAGCCATACTTTTGAGCAAGTCAAAAGACACCCAAGGGTATGATTGCCTTGTATGCTGCTCTTTTTAATAAGGCCAAGGAAAAGCATCACTGGATGGGATCATCATCATCTGCTGCTTTAATGCAGACAATCGAAGAAGGCTCCTTACTGATGGCTGTAAATTCATCATTATGGATACCACTCAGAGTCATTTGGCATGACATTTTTTATGCACAGAACAGAAAAGTGCAGTATTAGCTCCTGAGTGATTGGATGAGTTGTGCATCCATTAATGGGCATATCAGAAAATGTTTCCCAGCTCTGACTTATCTCCTACACAAATTGAGAAGATGCAGATTGTCTTGCAGTTGTTTACTCAAATTTTTGGTGCATTTTTTCATTTTGTCCAAAGTCCTGTTTATTTGAGAACCTACTATCATCATGCATTGCAGATTTTACTGCTGACTCTGAGATCATAACAGCCTGGCTGTGTACACTTACTATGAAATCTACTGGATGAGAGAAAACTAGTTGCACTAACCCCATAACAAATAAACATTTCTCTGTTCACCGCTTTGGGAAATGAAGGAATTGGTAGATCATAAGCCCAGGAAAGCTGGACAAATTTTTGATTGAATTTTTTATCCACCTATATTGGCATTTCAATCTGGTTAAAATCTGTGTTGTCCCTCTGAAAACTGCAAAACTATTTCAGCAAGAATTCAATATAACATAAAAACATTAAAAATAGAAAAAAACCTCCTATGCTCATTTTCATAATAGATCACACTTTTCATTAAGGATGTTTCATTTCTAAATACAACTAGATTTAATTTTCCAGAAAAAATAAAATAAAATAAAAAATTTTAAAGTTTCATTTTCCATTTTGGCCAACTCAAAAATCTACATTTTCCTGTTACGCAAGGGAAATAAAATACACATTATTCATATTCCCTGTTCTGTAGTCTTTCTTCCCATTCATGAATTGTTCAGGAACTGGTTATGATCTGTTAATTTATTCTTTAGCCACACACTTCATCGATCAAATTACATGAACAAATTTCAGTCAAGAATATATCAACTAATTGTTCACTTAGGATATTTATTTAACTGTGGTATATAACCATCACTTACACGAATGGTGTCATATTTGCTCCCCTGCTGATTATATGACTTTTTTTTTTCAGAGAGGAAATACAAAATATCAAGTCATGGCATTTCTCAGATGTAAATTATCAGATGAATAATCATTAAATGTTTAAAAGATATATAAAGTTTCTATCTAGACAGCAGCATTATCCACATTTAAGCCATCAACACATTTTCAGAACTCTGAACCAACATGTTTTAATTAATAATACGCATAAACTATAGTTTATAGGAGAAACCTAGATACTAAGAATGCTCTTAAAAATAATAATAATAAAGCCTAGATTTCAGCATCGAGGCTTCCAGCATAAACAATACCTTTTCACCCTGTAAGCAATAGAGAGAAATCAATCCTACCTCAGCTGCCAGACAGGATACTCACTTAAAGGAGGATGTTCTGGTACAAGACCAGCCCATGCCCATGGATCTGAACCTGGAAAATTTGTATCCTGGACAATGTGAAATACACAAACTGTTTTCTTGGAACTTTAGGGGAAGAAATACTGATCAGCACTTGTGGGGGATGGTGGGAGGAAGACTGCTCACTTTCCTAGCAAAGCTACTTACTCAGGATATAAGTCAGTTGTTTTACAGTATCAAGCAAAATATCAGGTACATGCCATAACTGTGATGCTACTGTTTAATTCCAGATGATCATCATTCTTCTTTATTTTATTCTGACCAGAAATTCTATTCTGACTTGAGAAAGCTTCACAACATTTAGCCAATACATTCCCTCATAAAACAGCTGAATTTACCAGAAATTTGCACAAATTCCAAACAAAACCCCACAAAAAAACCCCAAAAAACACAAACAAACAAACAAAAAAACAAACCAAACTTTAAAAACAAAAAAAAAAAAAAAGAAAAAGGAAAGTTTTACTCAAAACTTTCAGATCAGCTCTAGGATGGGCTTTGGGCTTTTGGACTTGTGTGTAACTCCTTTCATTGTCTAACTGGTCAACATGGTTACTTATCTCTCCCTGCTGTGCATATGACCAAGAACTGTGCAGGCAGGCGTTCTGGCCAATAAAACCTCAAAAAGCAGTGAAACACTCCCATTAGTGCAAGCAACAGTTCTCAGTATAAATAATTGTCTTGTCATATCTCCCCAGGCCCATTCTCTTTCCTTTCTTTCCCTCTCGCCTGCATTTCCTCAGAGATGTTTTCTCCGTCAACATAGCCTCATGTTACTTCTCTGCAGCTCTGCTGCCCTCCATTCTAAAATCTGGCATTACAGTGAAACTTCCAAGAATTCCATTCTCTGAAGCATTATGAGTCACACTGTAGTCCTCAGCAATATTTTTAAAACACCAATGTTTTTTTAATCACTCTTGAGACCCACAGAAGAAAGTAAGGATATTATCTTGCTAACTTACAGTGGTGGTTGTTTTTTCTATTGCCACCCACACTCTCTCATCTTTCTCCAGATACTCTGCTCCAGTCTCTCAATAGTGCAGGCATATGGTATTCAAGCATGCCAGAGTCTGACTTCAAGTTTTAGTCATTTTTCTTCCTGTAAAAAGGATGAAGGGACATTAAGCCTATGACCCTTTGAGAGCTTTCTTTATATAAAAGTTTCATTAGGGTTTATACTTTAAAAAAAATTATATGCCCTCCTGTAAAACTAACAGAGAAACATCAGGTCTGAGACATTCATCATACCTGAGTACCAGCAGTGCCAGGTGTCTGCTGTGTCAGAGGCAGCACAGAATTCCCTAGTGCAACAGTGAATATAGGAAGGGGAGAATTCATGCCTGCTCCTGGCAGTGATTTCCAAACAAGCATTTTAAGAGAGGAGATGGTTATCTTTAGGAGCTGTAGATGTAAATACTATCCCTGATAATAAAAATATAAATCTTTATTCTACTGTTTGACGAACTTTCCAGTTTAATTAGAAAAAAAAAGAAATCAACATTACTAAGCTATAGTAAAGTTATCGGTTCATTTTCATTGTATGTTTCAATGCTTCCTCCTTTCTCTTGAGCACGAGGGATGAGGCAGCTTGTATTATGAAAGAGTTGTTTGCAGCCCAGGATCGAAGTTCCACAAATTGCCGTTATCTGCTCTGCAGATGCTCATGTGACACACTGAGTAAATATACCTTAAGGTAAGCACATAACACTGCACAATGGGCATTCAATAAAGAAGATTCCTAAAGACAACAGTTATCTGAATTCTGTAGAGATCAACTTCTTGGATGAAGCACTCAAGGATGGCAAGGATTAGGAGGATGAGGGCTGCTCCATGATAGTCTCTGGAAAAAGCTGCCAGGAAACAAGAGGACAAAGAGACCTAGATTTCAAATTACCAGCTGATCATGTGAAGAAAAGTACACTTGGGTCTCAAAAGTTACTGAAAAATGGTCAGTGAGCTTGCCTGTGCAAGAGATGGTTGAGAGAACTGTGAAAATAAACACATCATTGAGAAATGGAGGTAGGATGAGTGAGATTTACTTAAGAAAAGGTGAGAACAGTGTTAAGTGAAATAGAAAAGAATCCATATTAAATACTAGCATTAATACAGTAAGCCAGGAAGCTACAAGTGATCAAGACTCCTCAAGAATCAGTTGGGTGAGGGATTTTATACACACTTATAGAGGTATTTATTTGGCAACATAAAAAAAAACACAATCATACTGAAACTGCTCATTTTACATCCAGCTTCTATAGAGCTTTTCTGTCTCACTGCCTCATACCCACAAGTGTGGCAAAGCAATAAACTTGCCTTTCATTTTAGTAGGATTTTTCTTCTACTCTATGTGTCTTTAAGAAACCTTGACCAATTTTTTTAGTGTACCAGTACTAAACTTTTTGAGGATTCTGTAACTCCTGGGCTGCATCAAAAGCAGCACGGCCAGCAGGTCAAGGGAGGTGGTTCTGCCCCTCTACTCTGCCCTTGTGAGACCCCACCTGGAGCACTGTGTCCAGCTCTGGGGTCCTCAGCACAAGAAAGACATGGACCTGTTAGAGCAAGTCCAGAGAAGGGCCACAAAAGTGATCAGAAGGCTGAAGCACCTTTCCTACCGAGACAGGCTGGGAGAGTTGGAGTTGTTCAGCCTGGAGAAGGGAAGGCTCCAGGGAGAATTCATTGTGGCCTTCTAGTACCTAAAGGGGTCTCGTAAAAAGTAGGGAGAGCAACTTTTTACATAGACAGTGATAGACATGGGGGGATGGTTTTAAACTAATAGAGGAGAGATTTAGATTAGATATAAGGAAGATATTCTTTACCCAGAGGGTAGTGAAACACAGGAATAGGCTGCCCAGAGAAGCTGTGGATACCCCATCCCTGGAAGTGTTCAAGGCCACATTGAACAGGCCTCAGAGCAACTTGGTATAGTGGAAGGTGGCAGGGGGTTTGGAACTACATGAGCTTTAAGGTCCCTTCCAACCCAAACCATTCTATGATTCTATGATTCTTAGATGCTGTCACTAGCAGCCAAGACGTTTAAAAATTGCTTTACTCTTTGTGGGTGTTTTTTTAAGATGGAAAAGAAAAATTTCTAGGAAATAGGGCCAAAATACTAGCACAGTTATTATCCTAATGTTAAACTTTTAAATCCATGTTTGGTCTTCCAAGTCTCAATAAAGTTGGTACACCTCAGTGACCAATATCCACAAATCTCAGTGAATGGCTATGAGGTACAACCTGGCTAAACATCACACTATCTATCAACTCATTATCATTATAGATTCAGGAACCTATTTAAATATGTCATCCAGTTTTGAACATTTGTCATAAAAGTGTAGCAGCGATTGGCTCAGATATTTGGTAACTGCTGACGCCATTGACCAGCTATAGAGATTTCAATTTTTCACAGAAGCTATCAATACCAAAAAAGCACTTCCTGAAGCCCCTTCTATTTCCTTATTTCGTACTACTTCAAAGAAAAAGAATATCCTCACCCTCTCTGAACCCCCATCACTATGATTTCGTGCCTTGGACAGGACACAATGCAACAGACACTACAAACAACCTGTGGTCCGGGCAGCACACATCGGGCTTAGCAAAGAGAATGTCATCAGTCAGAAATCAATAGCTAAAGTTTCCAGGTTACTGTGAATCATACTCCTGAGTGACCCTTCATATTACCTCTTACTGGCTTTTCAGGAATAATTAGAAACAGGTGGCAGTTACACCATTTCTGTAAGTTTAAAGCAAGCTGAAAATCAGAATTGAGTTGCTTGTTGTTACATTTTCAACAGCAGACACTGTAACAGCACAGGCAATTTTTGTCTGAATTTACCAATGCTTTATTCAGTGCTTCACAGGCAGAAAAGCCAACTGACACAATAGGGAAATCTTGCACATACAAAGTATGAAGGCCTGAAAATGAAGACTGTTGTGAAATTTAGAAACGTGATACTGATGTGAATGTGCATGTCTCTAAAACAGTCTCTTCTGTTACAGATCTCAGATATGTATATGCCAGACATAGCTGAACAAAAGCCAAAGCCTAGATTAATTCACTTTCTATAAAAGTTGCCTACATATGTATGTGAAAATCAAAACACAGAAAGTAATATTAGAGAGCTCAAAAAGAAAGTCATATTTAATTAGCTACAGGTTAGTAACTAATTAGTACAGATTCAGGAACTTAACCTTGAAGGATTTTTTTGTCTTGGTTTGGGGATTTTTTCTTCCATAAAATAAACTTCTGGAATTTGGTTTTCTTTATAAGCATTCTTTAATGAAGAACTGGTAATGATTTAGTCAGAAAAATACATGGTATTTTGTTCACTCTTACCTTCTTTTTCCACAAAATGTCCCCTTAATATCATTCATGAAAAAAAAAAAGCAAAATACTACTTGGGGGAATCAAAGGGTAAGTATTCAAATAATTTAGAAGACAAAGGCCACATATTTTAACAAGCCTACCCTAGCATGGCAATATGATGGGAGTTACAGCTGTAACAGAGATTTTAACTGGGGAAGAATCAATGCAGATTTCCAGATGGAAGTCATGTCTCAAAAATGTACTAGGCTTGTCTAAAGGAACACGTGGACAAGATGACCTGGTAACTGCAGTGTTGCAATTCCACATTTGGATACTCTGGTGCATATGTCTTGGATTTCCATGAAACTTTGGGAAAATTTACAGGTCTTTCTAAAAGAAAGAAGCTACTCTGGCACAAGAGGAATGGTCCTCTTGAGCATTGTTAGCTTTTTTCAAGTTAGGAGAGAAAAGAAGGAATGGTCAGTTGTCAAAGGGGAAGAAGGTTGTTCACAAGGTGTTACAAGATCCCTGCTGGAATCTCTGCTGTTCAGGGTGCTCCTAAGTGATCTCAAACACAGAGTAAACAGAAACTTTAGACATTTTGCTGGTGACCTGAAATTATTCAGGATAGTCAAAACTGAAGTTGTTTGAGGCAAAGTATAGAAGCATCTCGCAGTCCCAAAAGACTACTTGGTAAAGAGACAGATGAAATTAAAAGCTATTTCTAAGTTAGGAAAAAAAGGTGTGTACACATTTTTGCACATAGGAGCTACCTGATGTAACTCTGGACAACAAAGTCTATGAAGATTTTAATGATTTAATGAAACTAACTATTAATTTATATCAGTGATTCAGAGTATTCCTGACAGTGCCTTTTAATTTCATTGAAAGTTGGTGTCTTTTAGACCACTACAGTATTTTTTATAATTCCATTTGGGGATTGATCTTTTCTGTCATTACACTGCTTAAGAAATACAAACTAATTATCTTCACACTGTATGAGGTCGATAAACTGTATAACTCTCTTTCTCATGGAAAGAATACTGAGGTATTTTAGTTAAATTAATTGCACAAAGTGCTAAAAATGTGTCAAGTAACTCTCCAGTAGGGATTCATTTCCATTGAATTCCTTCCTAAAAGGAATTAAATTAAATTTAAGCTTTCCTTGAGAAGGTGGAAAGCACTTCTAAAATGTAGATATATTTCAATCAGACATTTCTGGAAAAGAAAGGTTCAAATTTTCACATTACAAAAAATTACAAGTGTTTAATTGAATGTCTTTATTTTAGCCAAATACTACAATTCAAACAACTTGAAGTAGTGATACACTGAATCTTTTTTTTTCCTGAAGATGTTCAAGAATTTGTCTTTTTTGTTCCTACTTGGGATGACTTTGTTTTACAAAGTATCTTTTTTTTTTTTTTGAGAAACGAACAAGTTAATTCCCTGACCAAATCAGAATCCGTTTGTCCATTGCATGCCATCAGTTGACAACACCACAAAATCTACCTTTGAGGAATTCTTAATATCTTTTGTGTAGAAACAATATCTGTTTAGTAGTATCTCTTCATAGATTAAATTTTCTGGGTAGAGTATGTCTCTGTTGATTAACAGTCCCTGAAACATCCTAGAAGTTTGTATGCATGTAGGGGATACTAAAACAAAACAGAAGTGTCCTGCCCCAGACACACCCAGGTTGAAACTAAAACTTACACTGAAAGATGAGGAAAAATACCGAAAAAATAACCTAATTGTAATAGAGGAATTTATATCAATTTTAAAGTTTTTTGTAGTAACTG